AGGTGGAGGGTGGGAGTTGGGAGAGGAAGGGGGGCAGGGACTTAGAGGCACGCGCCTACACGTGTGGCTCCGCCGTGAGCAGGGTGCCGGGAGCGAGTGTGTGGGGCTTGGGTCCGTGAGAGGTGGTGCATGATGGTGACACCCCTCCGCTGCCCTCTCACCCTAAGTGGCACACACAGACAGCTGTCTCTCATGTGAGGGACACCCGCACAATGGTTGGGAACGGGCTCCTGTGCAGGTTGGTGGATCTACCCCTCACTCTGACCCTGGCCCAGACCCCCCCCCCCCCCCCCCCCGCCCCCGGGCCCCCGCAGGAGGTGTGCTGCAGCCGATAGCAGGCAGCTGGGGAGAAAGCCTGGACTGAGAGGGCCCTGCCCCCGTGCCCTCCCCTTCCAAAAGGTATCTTTTTGGAAGACCTGAAGGTGGGGAACTCCCTGACTCCTGAAAGAATGTGAATCACATCCCCTGGGGAGAAGGAGTTGGAGGGTGCGGCCCTCGGAAGTTCCGACTGCCTGAGTTCTAAAACCAGTTTGAGCCATGAACATCCCCTGCCGTGAACCTCAGTTTTGCCATCTGTGTATGGGGCTTTTTTTAAAATTGGGACCGAGTTTCACTCTTGTTGCCCAGGCTGGAGTGCTGTGGTACGATCTTGGCTCACTGCAACTTCCGCCTCCTGGGTTCAAGCGATTCTCCTACCTCAGCCTTCCCAGTAGCTGGGACTACAGGCGCATACCACCACGCCCAGCTAATTTTTGTATTTTTAGTAGAGACGGGGTTTCACCATGTTGGCCAGGATGGTCTTGATCTCTTGACCTCATGATCTGTCACCTCAGCTTACCAAAGTTTTGGGATTCCAGGCGTGAGCCACGCACCTGGCATATGGGGTCTTCTACCAGCCCTTACCACCTCATGGGGCTGTCGCGGGGCTTAAATAAGGCCATCTTTGTAAAGCACTTAGCACAGAGCTCTGACCCTGACCAAATGTAGCGATTATTAGTAGTATCAGTATTGATTTATGAAATTGATTTCTACTGTGGGCCAGCTCCACACAGGGCACTGGGGAATAGGGGCAGGAGGATTGTTTGGGCCAGGAGAGGACTCGCAGGAAGTTGTAGGAGTGTGGGAGGGGTGTGTGCAGGTGATTAGGCAGGAAGGAAAGAAATGAGAGCCGGCTCCAAGTGTCAGCCTGGGTCTATGGGTAGAAATGCTCCTAGTGGGCCAGAGACGGTGGCTCACGCCTGTTTTTACAAAAATACAAAAATTAGCCGGGTGTGGTGGAGCATGCCTGTAGTCCCAGCTACCTGGGGGTTTGAGATGGGAGGACCGCTTGAGCCCAGGAGGTGGATGCTTCAGTAAGCTGTGTTCATGCCACACGGCACTCCAGCCTGGGCCATCAAGTGAGACTCTGTCCAAAAAAAAAAAAGAGAGAGAGAGAGAAAGAGGAAAGAAAGAGAGGGAAAGAAAGGAAAGAAAGAAAACTGGAAATTCTGCTGGTAGAGGAGGACTTTTAGGGAGGTCTACATTCCGGCGTCTCTTAAATCAACATGAGAGCTTGGGGTTGGGCAGGGGTGAGTCTGCATGTCTGAGGCTAGAAGTGTAGGGATCAAGTGTAAGAGGGTGTGTTAGGGGACCTGAGAGCGGATGGGAGGTGAGAGAGGAAGGTGGGGTCATGGCTCACCGTGGGTGAGGCGTGGGGTGGCCACGATCGGGGCCTGGAGGCCAGAGTGATCGTAGGGGTGCCAGTGCCCCTCACTTCGTTCCCTTGTCACCACTCCAGGCCATATGTGAATCAGAGACCTACCTCCTCCTGTTCCAGGAGAGGGGAGAGTCTGTGGAAAGGGTCTAAGACTAGAGGGGTGTGTGTGTGTATGTGTGTATGTATATGTGTGTGTGTGTAGAAGTGACCATGAGGGTAGGCGGCCTAGGCGGCCTTGACTGGCTCGCTCTCGGGAGGATTTCTTTTTTTTTTTAAAGACAGGGTTTCACCATGTTGGTCAGGCTGGTCTTGAACTCCCGACCTCAGGTGATCCGCCCGCCTTGGCCTCCAAAGTGCTTGGATTACAGGCGTGAGCCACCACGCCTGGCATCTTGCAGGTATTTCAAGTGACAAAAGAGGTGAAGGCTAGCGGGCCACTTCTCTTGGCTGGGGCGCCCCCTGGTGGACGAGGGCATTTGTGGGCGTGTTAATTCCAGCAGCTGCTCCAACCTGAATGCTGGCTCTACAGAGGGTGGAGGGGGAAGGGGGAAGGGGGAGGGGGGAGGGGAGGGGGGGAGGTGAAGGGGGGTGGAGGGGAGGGAAGATGGAATGGCGGTGCTCCTGAGAGACTGGGTCAGTGTGTGACTCAGTGGGTCTTCTCACTCCCTGGGGGTCTCTTCGGGTGGAGTCAGTGTGGGTGACTGGGAGGGGGCGTCAGGACCAGCGGGGGAGGGACGTCAGGGGGCCTGCTCCCTTCCTTTAGTCTCACCTTCAAACAACCGCCAGGGGATTCCGGCATGTGAGTTCACCTTCCTGTGCCTCAGGTTCCTCATCTGGAAAATGCAGATAATAATGGCCTCACAGGTGAACTGTGCCCAGCACATGGTGGGGGCATTTACTCATTCAACAAATAGCTATTGAGCAGATAATTTTTTTTTTTTTTTGGAGATAGGGTCTTGCTCTGTCCAGGCTAGAGTGTAGTGGTGTGTGATCATCGATCACTACAGCCTCGGTCTCCTGGACTCAAGCCCCCTGAGTCAGCCTCCTGAGTAGCTGGGACCATAGGCATGTGCCACCAGACCCAGCTATTTTTTATTTTTTTAGTAGAGACCAGGTCTCGCTATATTGCCCAGGGTGGTCCCCTGAGCTCAAGCGGTCCTCTTAGCCTCCCAAATTTCGGGGATTACAGGCATGAGCCACCATACCCTGCTTACTTTTTGTTTGTTTGTGTGTTTGCTTTTAGAGAAAGAGTCTTGCTCTGCCACCCAGGCTGAAGTGCAGTGGTGAGACCACAAGTCACTGTGGCCTCGGCCTCCTAGGTTCAAGCTATCCTCCGACTTTAGCCTCCTAAGTAGCTGGGACTACACTCATGTGTCATCACACCCACCTAACTTAAAAATGTTTTTGTAGGCCAGGAGTGTGGTCTCAAGCCTGTAATCCCAGCACTTTGGGAGGCCAAGGTGGTCAGGAGTTCAAGACCAACCTGGCTAACATAGTGAAACCCCGTCTGTACTAAAAATACAAAAATGAGCTGGGCGTGGTGGTGAGTGCCTATAATCCCAGCTACTTGGGAGGCTGAGGCAAGAGAATGGCTTGAACCTGGGAGGTAGAGGTTGAAGTAAGCCGAGATAAGGCCACTGCACTCCAGCCTGGGTGACACAGTGAGACTCTGTCTCAAAAAAAAAAAAAAAAGTTTTTGTAGAGACAAGGGTCTCAATGTGTTGCCCAGGTTGGTCTCAAACTCCTGGGCTCAAGCAATCTGCTCATCTCAGCCTCCCAATTGCAAACTAGAGCCATTGCACCTGGCCAGCATTTTTCTATTTTCTTCCCTCCCTCCCTCCCTCCTTCCCTCCTTCCCTCCTTCCCTCCTTCCCTCCTTCCCTCCTTCCCTCCCTCCCTCCTTCCCTCCTTCCCTCCTTCCTTCCTTCCTTCCTTCCTTCCTTCCTTGACAGAGTCTCACTCTGTTGCCCAGACTGGAGTGCAGTGGTGCCATCTCGGCTCACTGCAACCTCTGCCTCCTGGGTTCAAGTGATTCTCCTGCCTCAGCCTCCTGAGTAGCTGGGATTATAGGTACCCACCACCTCGCCCAGCTCATTTTTGTATTTCTAGTAGAGACGGGATTTCATTATGTTGGTCAGGCTGATCTTGGAACTCCTGACCTCAGGTAATCCACCTGCCTGGGCCTCCCAAAGTGCTGGGATTACAGGTATGAGCCACCACACCCAGCCAAATTATTCTTTCAAGTAGCATTTAGGTATTACCGTTGACATCTTGGTAAAGTACATATCACATCATTTGTGGAATAAATGGATTTATTGAGCAAGTACTACCTGCCAGGTACCTTTTTTTTTTTTTTTTCTGATGTGGAGTCTTGCTCTGTCGCCCAGGCTGGAGTATAGTGGTGTGGTGTTGACTCACTAAAGCTGGGATTACAGGCATGACCACCGTGCCCGGCTAATTTCTGCATTTTTAGTAGAAAGGGGTTTCACTATGTAGGCCAGGCTGGTCTCAAACTCCTGACCTCAGGTGATCCACCCACCTGGGCCTCCCAAAGTGCTGGGATAACAGGCGTGAGCCGCTATTCCTGGCCTGCCACTTACCTTTTAAAATGCTTTACCTATATCGCCTCATTTAAGCCTCACAACACTCCAGTAAGGCATCGTCCTCTTTTTATAGACAAGGAAACTGAGGCCCAGAATGGTTAACTCATTTGCCAAGGTGACATGGCCACCAAGTGGCAGAGCTAGGATTTGAACCCTCGAGATGTGACTACTGTTTCTAACCCCCACTGCTGCTGTCAGGCCTGCAGAAGGCGTTGAGCAGGGTGGGGTGACCGTGAGCGAGGCTGCTGGGAGAGTCAGCCCCGGGTGGGGTCTCTGCAGCCAGGAGGGACTTGGGTGGGTGGGGTGTCTGCCCGAAACATGTTGGTGAGAAGTCTGTGTGGGCACCTGGGAGGTGTCTCTGCGTCTCTTAGTATTGCAGTGTGTGTGCGTGTGGCTGAGTCCGTGCGAAGGTGTGTGAGTGGGAGTGTGTGGGAGGCTGTGAGTCTCCGCGTGAATGTGTGTGTAAACTGCCACGCGTGGGCGTGTGCGAGTCCAGGTGTGCATGTGATTGTGTGCACGCGAGACTAGGATGTGTGGACGAGTGAGGCCGGGTGAGTGACGGTGCGTGCCCGGGGGCCCCCGACTCCGCACCGTCCCAGTCCCTGCGGGGTCCCGGGGGCCCCCCTGGTCTGAAACTACCACTCCCGGCATGGCCCGGGCGGACCCGCCCCGCCGCCGTGATTGGCCGTGGCCCGCGTGCTCCCGCCCCCCGGGAATGAATGGATGGGCGGCCTCAGCGCCCGCCCGACCGCTGGGAGGACCGACCCGGCGGGGACCTGCTGGGGGCAGGACCCGGGGAGCAAAATGGCCACTGTCATCCCTGGCCCCCTGAGGTGGTGCGGGCCGGCGGGAGGCGGGGAGGGCGCGCGGGCGGGTCTACGCGGGCCTGTGTGTGTGTGGCGGCCGGGGGTGGGGCCGAGGGGGTGTCGGGGGGGCTGTCACCAAGTGCGGGGGTGCGAGTGTGTGTGACTGTGGGTCTCTGACGAGAATGGTGTCGGATGCGCCGCTCCCCTGCGGGGTGGAGGGCGTGGGGGGGCCTCCAGGTTCTTTTTGGGGAAGGGGACAGCGTCCCCCCCCGCGACCCTCTGGTCTGGGAGAGGGTGAAATGGCCCCGGGGTGCGGGGGCCTTGGCAAACTGGAGTGAAGTCCACACCAGCTTTGTCTTGGGATGTGGAGTGTGTGTGTGTATCACTCATTTGTGTTCTGGTTTCTTACAGAATTTGGGGATAGGTGTGTGGACATGTGTCAGTTTCCTTTTATTCTGCTCTGGGTATCTTTGGATATTTGGGTCTCCGAGTGTGTGTCGGTGTCCTCTGGAACTACATGTCATTTGTCTTGTGTTCTGTGTTTGTGAGTATGTAGGGCTGTGTGTATTTGGGTGTAAATTTTTGTGTGAATATAGGTGGGTTTGGCTTTCTGTGTTTTATATGTGTGCATCTGTGTGTACGTGTCTATGTGTGATATTTTAGATATTGGTTTCACATTGTGCATCTTTGTAAATGTGTGTGCGTACCTGTGTGAATCTGTGTGATTTCTTTGTGTTGTGTCCGGATATTGTCTGTGTGGTTTGTGTTGTCTTTGGATACATGGGGGCAAGTGGTTTGTGTAGTTCCTGTCTTTTGACATGTGTGTACTGTGTGTCTTTGGATTCATGAGGGGTGTGTGTGTGTGTGTGTGGTGTGATGTTTCCATGTTGTGTGTCTTTGTGTGGGTGAAGTGTTTATGGTGTATGTCTGTGGATATGTGATGTGTCTTTGTGTATGGTTATTTGTGTGGTCTGTCTTCCCACTATGGAACTTGGGATATTTGTCTTTTTCAGTAGCTATTTATGTGTGCACGTGTGTGAGGTTTGTCTGTTTCTCCTTTGTGAGTATTGGGATTTGTCTCTCTTTGTGTGTGAATTAGGTGTGACTGTGTGTGATTTGTGTTGTGTGTCTGCATGTGTTCATGTAGGGATGCGTCCCGGGGTGTTTTTGTTTGTTTCTGTATCGCGTTTCTACTCATGAGCTGGAGGCCTGTTTGAGTCCCAGTTTGGGGGCTCCTGGGCCCTGTTCCCTTCCCCTGGCCTGGGTTCCGGAGTGGGAGGAGGGGAGAGGTGAGGCTGGAGGGGTCCCTCACCCCTCCTGAGTCTGAGCGGGCCGGCTGCCGGGGGGGGGGGGGGGCAGGGGTTCTGGGGGGCCCTGCACGCCTGCCCTTGCTGACAGCTGCCCGCCCGCTCGCCGCCCCTCTAGCCTAGGCGAGGACTTCTACCGCGAGGCCATCGAGCACTGCCGCAGCTACAACGCGCGCCTGTGCGCCGAGCGCAGCCTGCGCCTGCCTTTCCTCGACTCGCAGACCGGCGTGGCCCAGAACAACTGCTACATCTGGATGGAGAAGACCCACCGCGGGCCGGGTACCGCCAGGAGGGCGGGCGCGGGGCGGGGCCGGGCCGGCACACCGCCGCAGCCCTCTCACCCTCCCCCTCTCCCCAGGTTTGGCCCCGGGACAGATTTACACGTATCCCGCCCGCTGTTGGAGGAAGAAACGGAGACTCAACATCCTGGAGGACCCCAGGCTCAGGCCCTGCGAGTACAAGATCGGTGGGTGCAGCCGCTAGGACCCCCATCAGTGTCCCAGAGCCTGCTGTGCGTCCCGGCACGTGTCGGTCACCTTTATCTGCCTTCTAGCAAGTGTCTGTCTGCCCGTGTGCGTCTTGGGTGTACCCCGGAGACTCCACAGTTTTCTCTGAGTCACTAAGTGGCAACTGCATCTCCTCCTACATGGGCGCAGGTGCCCAGCTGTTATTTATTTATTTATTTTTGAGACAGTTTTGCCCAGGTTGGAGTGCAGTGGCACAATCTCGGCTCACTTCAACCTCTGTCTCCTGGGATCAAGCAATTCTCCTCCCTCAGCCTCCTAAGTAGCTGGGACTACAGGCATGCGCTACCATGCCCTGCTAATTTTGTATTTTTAGTAGAAACAGGGTTTCACCATGTTGGTCAGGCTGGCTTGGAAATCCTGACCTCAGGTGATCCGGCTACCTGTACGGGGATTACAGGCGTGAGCCACTGCGCCCAGCCTGTTGTTTTTTAAACAGAGTCAGGGTCCTTACTATGTTACCAAGGCTGGTCTTGAATTCCTGGGCTCAAGAATCCTCTCTCCTCAGCCTCCCAAAGTGTGGGGATTACAGGCATGAGCCATTGCGCCCCACCAAGGGGCCCAGTGGTATGGAGGGCACAGTGGTATCTGTTAGTGTGTGTGGGTGTGTGTGGAGTTTCTGTGTCGCCTCCCCTGGGAGCTGGGATGGGTCAGTGTCTGCCTGTATTTTTTTTTTTTGAGATGGAGTTTGGCTCTGTTGCCAGGCTGCAGTGCAGGGGCGCGATCTTGGCTCCCTGCAACCTCCGCCTCCCAGGTTCAACTGATTCTCCTACCTCAGCCTCCCAAGTAGCTGGGATAATAGGCGCCCACCACCGCGCCCGGCTAATTTTTTTAGTAGAGATGGAGTTTCACCATGTTGGCCAGGCTGACCTCAAACTCCTGACCTCAGGTGATCCACCTGCCTCGGTCTCCCAGAGTGCTGGGATTACAGGCCTGAGCCACTGTGCCTGGCCATTTGCCTGCATTTTTTTCTGTGGGTGCCTGAGGGTGTCTGCCTCTGTATCTCCCCTCGGGCATCTGGATGTCTCCATGCCTGGCTGGAGCTTTTCCTCTCTTCAGTGTAATCTTCCCAAGTGTCTCCAAGTGTCTTAGAAGGCTTGTGTTTTCTTGTATGTGCCTGGTCTGTCAGGGTGTCCAGCTCGTCCTTAGTGTGTCTGGGTGTGTTGCAGCATGTGGCCATCTCTTTCTCTTTCCTGTGTCTGGTGTATCAGGTACATTTCTGCACGTGTATGCCAGTCCCTCAGGGGATCTGGACTTAACCTTGAATGAGTTTAGGAATATCAGCGTCATCGGCTGTTTCTCCTCCCGAGTCCAAGGGTCTGTGTGTACCCAGGAGCATGGCAGTGTCCACCCAGCTGTCTCTTCCTGTTTGCGTCTCCTCTGTGTGTGTGTGTGTGTATCTAGCTGAGCATTTCCCCCTGGGTGCGTATCTCCTTCTACAATGTGTCCAGGTGTCTCACCTGGCTGCGTCTTCCCCATGTGGGTCTAGGTATATCTATCTGCAGGGCTAATTGTCTCCTTTCTTTTTTTTTTCTTTTCTTCTTCTTTTTTTTTTTTTTTTTTTTTTTTAATATATGCAAACCAGCAATCTCAGGCCATAATTGTCTCCTTTCTTTTTTTTCTGCCCAGGTTGGAGTGCAGTGGCATGATCTCAGCTCACTGCAACCTCCACCTCAGGTTCAAGTGATTCTCTGCCTCAGCCTCCTGAGTAGCTGGGATTACAGGTGTATGTGACCTTGCCCAGCTAATTTTTGTATTTTTTTTTTTTTTTAGTAGTAGAGATGGGGTTTTACCATGTTGGTCAGGCTGGTCTTGAATTCCTGACCTCAAGGGATCCACCTGCCTCGGCTTCCCAAAGTGCTGGGATTACAGGCATAAGCCACCTCGCCTGGCCAGCTAATTGTCTCTGAGTCTCTCTGAGTGGCCCCATGGGTCCGGTATGTCTCCCCCATGTGTCTGGGTGTCCCCAAGGATCTGTCTATGCCTCTGTCAGTCTCTAGGTTGTATCTGAGAGTGTGGCTTGGCTGGGTGTGGTGGCTTATGCCTGTAATTCCAGCACTTTGGGAGGCCGAGGTAGAGGACTGCTTGAACTCAGGGAGTTTGGGACCAGCCTCATCAACATGCTGAAACCCCATCTCTACCAAAAATACAAAAATTAGCCCAGTGTGGTGGCATGCCAACTACTGTGCCTGCAGTCCCAGCTACTCAGGAGGCCAGGGTGGGAGGATCACTTGGGCCTGGGAGCTGCAGTGAGCTGAGATCGCGCCATTGTACTCCAGCCTGGGTGACAGAGCCAGACCCCGTCTCAAAAAAAAAAAAAAAGAAAAGAAAAGAAAAAGACAGCATGGCTGGGCGTCTTCCTTTTCGTGTCTGTCTCAGACAATCTGTCTGGATGTCCCTGCGGGTGTCCGTGTGTCTCCTCTCACAGTGTCTGTATCTATCCGTATTTGTCTGGGTGTATTCGAGAGTCTGGCTGTGTCTCCCCCGAGTAGGTCTGGGTGTGCCCGAAGGTCTGTGTCTTTTTCCGAGGCTTTCCGGGTATATCCAAAGTTCTGACTGTGACTCCTGCTGGGTGTCCAAGGGCCTCAGAGAGTGTGGCTGGGTCTCCCGGGGTCTGGGGCTCCCTCCTAGGGTGTGTGGTTGAATCCTTGCCTCTGCTGCTGGCTGAGCGTGGGAAAGCCTCTTCCCTCCCCTAAAGAGCACGGTCCCCCACTTGCATAGTTTGAAGAATCCTCCAGGGTCAACTTCCCCATCTGACGCCCCCCATGGCCCTGTCCCCAGACTGTGAAGCACCCCTGAAAAAGGAGGGTGGCCTCCCAGAAGGGCCGGTCCTCGAGGCTCTACTGTGTGCAGAGACGGGGGAGAAGAAGATTGAGCTGAAGGAGGAGGAGACCATTATGGACTGTCAGGTAGGCCCGCCCACAGGGGACCCCCCCTCCCCCCCCCCCCCGCTTCCTCTCACCACTGCCTGCCGCTGGCTGGCCCCGGCCCTCGCATTTCTGCTTTGAAACCCCCCGGTTCCCTCGGGCCTTTGGGTGTCACAGTGTCCATCCTCCCAGACTTCATCTCTGTTTGGAAGAACTCCTGACTTACCCTCTCACCCCCAATCTCCACCTCTGCCTAGAACCCCTCAAAAGCAGATCAGTGCCCCCTACTTTCTTGACCTGTCTCCTTTCTCTGTTGCCTAGAAACAGCAGTTGCTGGAGTTTCCGCATGATCTCGAGGTGGAAGACTTGGAGGATGACATTCCCAGGAGGAAGAACAGGGCCAAAGGAAAGGTATCACCCCGACTTCTCCTCTTCCCCGCTTCCCGCAGTGACAGGCCTCATTCACGGAGCAGGCCCAGTGGTCCCACCCCTGCCATGAGCCTGACCTCGTTGAATCCTCAGAGCAGCCTGAAGGGGTGGGGGATTTTATAGCCATTTTACAGATGAGGAAACTGAGGCTGATCTGTATTAAGCCACTTGTAAACCAGAGAGCATGGGTGGGTTAGAGCTGCCTTCATCCCTGTGCCACAGAGGAAGAAGCTCAGTGTTGGGGAGGTTCGGGGCCCCACAGCTAGGACGTTTGTACAGCTACAGTTTGAATTTGCAAATGATGAATACTCGGTTTTCTCACTTTTTGTTTTTTGAGACAGAAGTTTTGCTCTTTGTTGCCCAGGCTGGAGTGCAGTGGTGTGATCTCAGCTCACTGCAACTTCCACCTCCTGGGTTCAAACAATTTTCCTGTCTCAGTCTCCCAAGTAGCTGGGATTACAGGCGCCCGCCACCATGCCCGGCTAATTTTTGTATTTTTAGTAGAGATGGGGTTTCACCATGTTGGCCAGGCTGGTCTGGAACTCCTGACCTCAGGTGATCTGCCCACCTCAGCCTCCCAAAATGCTGGGATTACAGGCACGCCTGGCCTATTTTCTCACTTTCTGGGGCCCTCACTCCTGACTCTTCCCACAGGCATATGGAATCGGGGGTCTCCGGAAACGCCAGGACACCGCTTCCCTGGAGGATCGAGACAAGCCGTATGTCTGTGATAGTGAGTCCTTCTGAAGAGGGGGAAAGGCAGAGAGGGGGGGGCCCAGAGACTCCCCACCTCATGGCCCTCTCCCTCCTGTTCCAGACCCAGGTTGGGGGGATGCTTAGGTCTCTGGCCGAGGTGGGAGGTGTGCTCCTGGAGGCCAGGGTGGAGGCAGCAGGGGCCCGGAGGGGCTGACAGGCCCTCCCGGCTCACTTCTCCAGTCTGTGGGAAACGGTATAAGAACCGGCCGGGGCTCAGCTACCACTACACCCACACCCACCTGGCCGAGGAGGAGGGGGAGGAGAACGCCGAGCGCCACGCCCTGCCCTTCCACCGGAAAAACAACCATAAACGTGAGCTGGAAGGCCAGGTGGGGGTGGCGAGGGACCCTGGGAATGGGAAAGAGGGGCCCGGCTGGGGGTGGGGGTCTGGGGGGGGCATTAGACATTTCTGGAAAATCTCCAGCTCAGCCGTTCCCTCCCCCCACCGACCATGGGGATGCTGGCTCTGGGGTTGCCATGGCAACCAACTATCGCTCCTTCGCTCCCGGCCGGGCGTAATATTTCTGGGTCTGATTTATTGTTTCAATTAGAGCTTGGGGAGGGGGGGTGATAGATGACTCCCCTCCCACCCTGCCTTCCCTTTCCCCTTTCTCTGTTAAGCTTTGGTCAAGGGGCAGGGCCTGTGGCCTGGGAGCCCTTGGTGTCCGCCTGTGCCAATCCCATGCCAATCCTGACAGCTGAGGGATGGGGGAGGGGAAGAGGGTTTGGGAGGGGCAGGAGAGAGACACCATCTTCCCACCTCTCAGAGGGAGAGGCTGAGCATCTTTATCCGAGGCCACTGCATACCTGGGCACCTCGGTGTCCAGTTTTTCTTCTGAGTGTCTTCTGTACCAGCTCTTGGCCAGGGGCACCTGCTGAATTTGTTAGATACAAACTACTGAGGGCGCAGGTGGGAGTGGCTGGCTGGGAGGCATGGGATATGAGAAGGGGGCAGGGAGCCCTTCTCAGGCTGTCTTCACCACGTTTTGACCCAATAAAGAGGATGTATCAGTGTCTCAAGGAGTTGGGAATCCTGGCTGGGCACAGTGGCTCACGCCTATAATCCCACCACTTTGGGAGGCTGGGGTGGGAGGATCGTGGGAGGCCAGGAGTTGGGGATCAGCCTGGGTAACATTACCAGGACCTTGCCTTTATTTATTTTTTAATTTTTTTTTATTGCTAAGTATCACAGAACTTGCCTTTATTTTTAATTAAAAATAATAATAATTGGAAGTCCCAATGGGAACTGTTTCCGCCTCTCCCCACAGCTTAGGGAAGCTACTCACCTCCCCACCTCCCCACACCTGGACCAAGAGGTCCATCCCTGGGGCTGAGGCTGGGGGCAGGGTGGAGCCTTGCCTGTGGTGAGAGCCCCTCTCTCTGTCCCCCCTACCCCAGAGTTTTACAAAGAATTGGCCTGGGTCCCTGAGGCACAAAGGAAACACACAGGTACGGATGCCTCCCTCTGCTCCTAGTGTCTGCAGCCACCTTTGCTGGGCGCCCCTGCCTGCCCCTCGCCAATGCCGGTCTGCTGTCTTGCAGCCAAGAAGGCGCCCGACGGCACTGTCATCCCTAACGGCTACTGTGACTTCTGCCTGGGGGGCTCCAAGAAGACGGGGTGTCCCGAGGACCTCATCTCCTGTGCAGACTGTGGGCGATCAGGTGACAGTCCCCACCTGAGGTTTCTGGGGGCCAGGTGCAGAGGACATCCAGGAGTGCGGAACTGGACGGTGGGAAGCAGGGCAGTGAGGATGGGGGGGACCCGGAGTGCGGCAGGGGTACTGTGGATAACCACAGTTAGTGAGGCTGAGGCAAATGCTGAGGATTGTGGGAACTGGGTCAGATCAACGAGGCTTCAGGGATAATGGGATGTGGCTCTCATGGCACTGTGTTTAGTATGGCATCAAGGGTGTGAGAGGCTGGGTGTGGTGGCTAACGCCTGTAATCCCCACACTGTGGGAGGCAGAGTTGGGAGAATCACTTGAGGCCAGGTATTTGAGACCAGACTGAGCAACACAGAAATAACCCATCTCTACAAAACATTTAAAAATTAGTCAGGTGTGTTGTTGCATACCTGTAGTCTCAGTGACTCAGAAGGCTGAGGCCAGAGGCTCGCTTGAGCCCAGGAGTTTGAGACCAGCCTGGACAACACAGTGAGATCCCATCTATGAAAAAGATAGCTGGGTATGGTGTCACACCACATTAGTCCCAGCTACGCGGGAGGCTGAGGTGTGAGACTCGCTTGAGCCCCGGAGGTTTTTTTTCTTTTTGAGATGGAGTCTCCCTCTGTCACCCAGGCTGGAGTGCAGTGGCACAGTCTCGGCTCACTGCAACCTCCATCTCCTGGGTTCAAGTGATTCTCCTGCCTCAGCCTCCCAAGTAGCGGGGATTTTTGTATTTTTAGTACAGACAGAGTTTCACCATGTTGGCCAGGATGGTCTCGAACTTCTGACCTCAGGTGATCCACCCGCCTCGGCCTCCAAAAGTGCTATTACAAGCCTGAGCCACCTCGCCCAGCCCCTTGAGCACAGGAGTTTTTGACCAGCCTGCACAATATAGTGGTACCCCATCTATTAAAAGAAAAATAGCTGGGCATGGTTTTGCACTCCATTAATCTCAGCTACTTGGGAGGCTGAGGTGGGAGGATCGCTTAAGCCCCAGAGGTCGAGGCTGCAGAGTGAGCTGTGAGGGCGCCACTGTACTCCAGCCTGGGTGACAGAGCGAGACCTTGTTTCAAAAACCAAAACGAGACAAAAGGAGTAGCAAGAGACAGTGGCCAAGGCATGGCAGGTAATGGGCTGTGCGGTGTGAATGATGGATGCCACCGCCTGGGCGCTGGTAGCAGGCTGGGTTTGTGGTGGAACTGTGGTTAACGGAATTGGTTCCCCGTGCTGGACTGCGGTTGCCTCTCCGCACAGTGGGTCATGAATGGTGGTTGTCATGGCATCATGGGTAGTGAAATATGGTTGTCATGGTAACTCGGTATCCTGGAATGCGGTTGAGATGGCAGCGGGGCCATGGCTGCAGGGGACCCGCGCCCTGGGTCACGGCTTCGGGTAGTGGCCTCGGGTGTCTCTGGGCTGGGGCCGTGGAATGACTAAGAGCCTGGCACTGCACAGTATTGTGGGTAGCAGTTTGGTTGCTGGGGCATCAGGTGGGACGGGCTTTTGTGGCATGAAACAGAGGTGTGGGGACCTTATTGTGGAAGGCAGTTGCCATGGCATCGTGGCTGGGAGAGTGTGGCTGCCACGTTGCTGTGGTTAGCAGGACCCCTGGCCGCTCTGCTGTGAGGAATGGAATGTGGCTGTCTCAGCCCTGTGGTTAACAGAGTGTGGTTGCCACGGCGTTGTGGGTGGTAGAAGGGGTTGCCACAGCACTGTGGGTAATGGAATGCGGTTGCCATGGCATTCTGGGAGCAGAGTGTGGTTGCCATGGTGGGTGTGGTTGGTGACTGTGGTGGCCGGGGGACTGAGGCTGGCCACGTGGTTGCTGGGCAGGTGTGGGGTCAGGCTGCGGACCCTGGCAGCTCATCCCGGCCTCATGAGTCACGGGTAGGGGCTGAGCTATGGCTTCCCCTGGCTGTCAGTGCCCACCAGGGGCGTGGTGACCCCCTAACTGCACCCCTGCCCCTTGGCCCTTAGGACACCCCTCGTGTTTACAATTCACGGTGAATATGACGGCAGCCGTGCGGACCTACCGCTGGCAGTGCATCGAATGCAAATCCTGCAGCCTGTGCGGAACCTCTGAGAACGACGTGAGTGCCGCCTGACCCCTGCGCGCCCCGATGCCCGCTCTGCCTACGCATCCACCTCTGCCCCTCCAGCCTAAAGCCTGTGCCTGAGCCCTCCCTGTGATCACGAGTCCCCTGTGTTATCATTATGCTGGTGTCCATAAATCGAACCTGGCACTTTTTCCTCATCTCTCTGGCTCCTCCCTAGAGCCACCCTCTGAGGCAGGTGTTCCTGTCCCCACTTCACAGGGAAGGACCGAGCTCAGAGAGGGAACGGGACCTGCCCCTGGTCAGCCAGCGAGGCAAGCGGTAGAGCTGAGGTTTAAAGCCACAATCACGCTGGCAAAGCTGATATCAGAGCATCTTAGTGTTGTTTAAAGCCTTCCACAGCCTGGGCGCGGCAGCTCACGCCTGTAATCCCAGCACTTTGGGAGGCTGAAGTGGGCGGATCACCTAAGGTCAGGAGTTCGAGACCTGCCTGGCCAATATGGTGAAATCCCCGTCTCTACACAAATACAAAAATTAGCTGGGTGCCTGTAATTGCAGCTACTCGGGAGGCTGAGGCATGAGAATCACTTGAACCGGGGAGGTGGAGGTTGCAGTGAGCCGAGATGGCACCATTGCACTCCAGCCTTGGCAACAGAGTGAGACTCTGTCTCCAAAAAAAAAAAAAAAAAGGCCACAACCACTGCTGGCAGAGCTGGTATCAGATCACCTTAGTTGTCACATAAACCTTTCCACAGGCGGGGCACGGCAGACCACGCATGTATCCCAGCACTTTGGGAGGCTGAGGAGCTTTGAGCCCAGGAGTTCTAGACCGGTCTGGGCAACATAGTGAGACTCCTGTCTCTACAGAAAATACAAGAAAGAAAAAGCCAGGCATGGTGGTGCACACCTGTAGTTCCAGCTCAGGAGGCTGAGGCAGGAGAATCATTTGAGCCCAGGAGTGTGAGGCTGCAGTTTGCCGTGACTGCACCACCAGTGCACTTCCAGACTAGGCGACAGGGTAGGACCCTGTCTCTAAAATTATAAAATAATAATAATAAGCCTTCCACAGAGTCTTCTAAAACTCCCACTATAAATCTCTAAGGGACCGTTGTCAGGGATGTGTGCTCGGCTAAGCAGTGTTGCCCACAGCTTTCCCGCTGCAGAGCTGCTCAAAGCCTCCCTCGGAAGGACACACCTCCCCCAGCCCCCTTGACCTAGCCCCTGCCCCAGCCCCCCACCCCCGTTTCTGGTACCCGTGCCCCCAGGGTGCCAGCTGGGCGGGTCTCACCCCCCAGGACCAGCTGCTGTTTTGTGACGACTGCGATCGGGGTTACCACATGTACTGCCTGAGTCCCCCCATGGCGGAGCCCCCAGAAGGTGAGAGGAGAGGCGGGCACCATGTGGGGTGGGTAAGTGGGAACGCTGTCTCCTGGTTGGCGAACACCTACGTCCTCTGGGTGGGAAGGGGCTGGGGCAGCCCTCCCAGACCTGGGCCTGACTCCAGCCTCGCCTGCCCCTGCAGGGAGCTGGAGCTGTCACCTCTGTCTTCGGCACCTGAAGGAAAAGGCCTCTGCTTACATCACCCTCACCTAGGCTGGCTCTGCTCACCGGGACTCTGGGGTGGTGCTCGCCTACCTGCCTCTCCGAGCTCCTCAGCCCTCCCCCACCCTGAATGCCCCGCAGGGGGAGGGGGAGAAGGGGAAGCTGAGGGGGGGCTGGGCCACCCCTCCCCTCTGTGCAAGTACAATGTCTGCCCTGTGGGTGGGTGGGCCCGACTGGGCGCCCCCCCCTTCCTCCCTATCAGTCCCTTGGCATATGGACACCCGGGGCCTCTGCTCCCCTCAAAGCCATACCCCGCCTCTAGGCGGGCTTGGGGGGTAGTGGGTGCCAGCCAGGGGCATGGACAGAGCCTTTTTCTAAAGAAAAAGAGAAAAAGTTAAAAAAAAAAAAAGAAAAAAGAAAAGAAGTTAATATATACAAAGAATCCTTCAAGGCCTGGCTGGGTGGAGGGGCGCTGCTGAGAGTGTCCACTGGGCACCCGCCTCTGCCAGCCTCCCGCCAGGCGCCCTGACCCCAATTTCTGGAGCTGCAGCCGTCCCTCGCCCCACCCAAGGTGGGCACCTTCCCCTCCTGTGCCCAGGGCGGTGGGCGTGGTGTCCACTCACCCCTCCCGGTGCCCACGGTGGGTACTGCATGATGTGAACCTTGGTTTTGAACTCTGTTCCTGCCCCTCCCCGAACGCCCCGGCCTGTGCCCACCCCGTGCCTGCTGTGGCTGGTGGGTGGCGGTGGTGGGGCCGGGTGGCCCCCGCCCAGCGCCTGCTGGAATGAGAAGCACAGACTCCGCCACGGACTCCTTTTCCGTCCCCTCCTCCGCCCTCCTTCCACCCTGCCAGGCCTGGTGGCCCCTGCCCCCCTCGCTGGCCATTTTGGGGGGAGTGAGGGGGCGTGGTTGTTTCTTGTGGTTGTGTGTGTTTGTTGTTTGGGTTTTAAAAAAGGGAAACTGAGACTGCAGGCGGGGGAGGTGGTGGATTTTGGGGGGATGTCCCCCAATCCAGGTGTACCCCTCACTTGTCACTGAGTCTCCTCTATTGCCTGCCTCTGCTGTGAATTAACTTGTTCTGTGTATTAAACTGGGCCTGACCCCTCTGCCCACGACTGCCTTGTTCTCCCGTCTGATCTGGGGCGTCACCAAGAAGAGGGGCTGGGGGTGGGGGGGGCCTTGTTGGGGGAGAGGCAGCCAGCCAGCCCCTACCTCCATCCACCTCCTCCTCCTCCCCACACCGCACCCCGCCTCTCCCTGGCTTTGTCCCAGCTCCGCCCTGCTTTGCCAGAAAGGAGGAGAAGGGGGATGGGGTGGAGGGGCTCCCGCCCAGCCAGCTGTGGTTGCCCTGGCAACAGGCTGCTGCAGCTGCAGCGGGTGCAGCCAGGAGGGAGGCGGGAGCTGGGCCGGGGGAAGGGAAGGGCTGGAAGAGGACGTTGGGGCAGCCCCTGCTGGGGTGCTGGGATGGGGAATGGGGGTGTCTGGAGGAGTCATCTCAGGCCCAGGCATCTCCAGGGGCTCCCTGTTCTCAATGTGGGGCAAATCAGCGGTTGGGGATGGGGTGGAGATGGAAGCACTAAGGGAGGGCAGGAGGGTACCTAGACTCGGGCACTGGGAGAGAGACAGACGTGGGCGACGGGCGGGGGGCGGGAGTGAGAGTGAGAGAACTAGGACACAGATCAGGAGAGAGAAAGAGATGAGGACAGTCACACACAGTTACGGAGAGAGTCAGAAAAAAGAGCAGGGTGCAGAAGGGAGAGAAACAGGAGGAAGGACGGGGGAGAAGAAGGGAGCAGGGGTGAGGTTTAATGGGAGAGAGGGAATAACAGTAATAAAAAATAGCTGACAGGCGGGGAGAGCTGGGAGGAGGAGGAGGTGACTGGGGAAGATCAGCAGCAGATTTCAGGAGAGGTCTTCCCAGAGGGGAGGCAGAGGAGGAAGCAACAGGGATCAGGAGAGGGAGGCACGTTGCGGGTGGGCAGAGAGAGACTTGGGATCAGGGACAGGCAAAGTCCCAGGACAACAAACAGGCAAAGATGGGGAGAGACGGGGGCAGAGGGGAGAGAAAGAGACAGAATTTAGGGGAACTGCAGAACAATCTGCAGAGAGAGCCGGAGGTATGAGGGACCCAGAAAGACTGGGGAGGAGAACCGGGATGGGGTGGGAGCAGGAGAGACCGAGATGGGTAGAGGATGCTGGAAACGGCACGAAGGGAAGGGCCGTGCGCCGCAAAGCACAGTTCGGGCGCGACCAGGGCTGGCGTGCGCACGAATTGTGGGGTGCTGGAGGCAGCTGGCGTGGCTCTGGCGCCAGGAGAGGATGTGAGAACAGCCTGTTCCTCGGCTTCCCACCCCCTTCGCCCGGTGGCGGGGGGAGGGCAGTGCGGGTTGAGGACAGGGCGTCAAGGAGGAGGGTGGAGACAGGGAGGGTGTCTGGAGAACTCCAGAATTTTTAGGAGACGTGGGAAAGGCTGGTCCTGCTACTCTGATGCCAGCCCCACGCCTTTTGGAAAAAGACACTTTTTGAAGGGGGCAGGGTCTGAGTCAGAGGAGCACTGGGTTTTAGCTCAGGGATGTGAAACTCCATGACAGGCACATGGGTATGGGGGCAGGAAGACCCCACCTAGCCAGCCCCATCAGGAGGCTAGGCTTCCAAGGGGCTGGACTTCGTGATTTTCACAGGAATTTCCTGATTCACAAATCAGTTTGGCCCAGATTCCCAAAAAGCAAATGTTCATCGGGCCAGATGCAGCTCTGGAGTGATGAGGGGCTGCTTTCTACCCCCAAAGCACTCACTTGGCAACTGGTAGCGGGGGTCTGCTCCTACCTCTACAGACAGGAGTCAGGGAGTGTCCCAAATGCAGCCATGTGGCCAGGGCCAAAGGAGGCAGGGGCCCCTTACTTTAGAGTCTTGCAGCAAAGGACGGATCAAAAAATTGGAAAACTGGCCTTCATGTGCAATCTCCTTTTTTTTTTTTTTTTTTTAAAGTTAAGCTGGGAGCAGTGGCTCACACCTGTAATCCAGCACTTTGGGAGGCTGAAGTGGGCAGATCACTCGAGGTCAGGAGTTCAAAACCAGCCTGGCCAACAAGTGAAACCTCGTCTCTATAAAAATACAAAAATTAGCCAGGTGCCTATAATCCCAGCTGCTTGGGAGGCTGAGGCAGGAGAATCGCTTGAATCTAGGAGGTGGAGGTTGCAGTGAGCTGAGATTGTGCCACTGCACTCCAGCCCGGGCAACAGAAAGTCTCCTGTCTCAAAAAAAAAAAAAAAAAAAAAAAAAAAAAAAAAGTTAAAAAAAATTCTTTTTGGAGGCAGGAGCTTGCTATGTTGTGCAGGCAGGTTTTGAATTCCTGGGTTCAAGCAATCCTCCTGCCTTGGCCTCTCAAAGTGCTGGGATTACAGGCATGAGCCACAGCGCCTGGCTGAATGTCCAGATTTTTAGAAGTTAGCCACTATTTCTAAGACCCAACACAAAACTCCAGGCTGGGTCTGGCCTTCAGGCCTCCAGCATATGATGTCTGAGGCAGAATCTCACTCTTGAACATTGGCCGGGTGCGGCGGCTCACGCCTGTAATCCCTACACTTTGGGAGGCTGAGCAGTCAGATCATCTGAGGTCAGGAGTTCAAGACCAGCCCGGCTAACACAGTGAAACCCCATCTCTACTAAAAATACAAAGAATTAGCTGGGCGTGGTGGCGCATTCCGGTAATCGTAGCTATTTGGGAGGCTGAGGCAGGAGAATTGCTTGAACCTGGGAGGCAGAGGTTGCAGTGAACTGAGATCATGCCATTGCACTCCAGCTTAGGCAACAAGAGCGAAACTCTGTCTTAAACAAACAAACCAAAAAATTTACATTCTGAGTGTTGAATTTCTGTCCTTTGGATTCCACAAGGCAGGTGCCCTGTGGTTCTCAGGACGTGTGGGGTGGTCACGGTCTGGAGAACATGGGGACAGGAGCAGCAGGGGGGGCCTATGCCGGACCACAGTCTCTCGCCAGCAACTCCAGACAGCTGCCCCAAAAGTGAACACAGAAGCCATTTCTATGAAACATTTATTTCCTTTGAAACCTCCAGAAACATGCCAGAAAATCTCAAGACAGGGATGGGCGGGGGAGGGGGGAGACAATAAAGAATAATAATAAAAAAATCCAAATGAAACAAATCAACATAGAAAAAAAATCCTGCTGCTATCTTCAGCCATCAGATAGAACACCAACCTCAAATTAAATAGATCTGTTTTTGCAGAAATCCTTACAAAATAACAGAAAACAAAACCAAAAATCATAATTTACACTTGTCCATGTACATGATTAAGTCCCCAAAATGATTCGAATGATCTGAAGATGGGAGGAGGAGGCAACTGAAAAAAAAAAGAACCTGATCAGGGTCCGAGGAAACGGGTTGGGGACTGGAGAGCCCCCAGGGAAGGGGGTGGGGGAGAAGACGACATCACAGTAGCTGGCCAGGGCTGAGGACGCTGCCTTGGGCACACATGCCCACCTCACTCTCTGTGTGGAGGGCAAGGGCATGCGGGGGGCAGCACTGAGGTTTCCTCCTCCAGGGGGCCAGAGGCTGATCACAGGAGACACGATGACAACCCTCCTCTCTTGCCCCCACCCATCCACACCGGCACCTCCCTGAGTGCCTGCATCCTAGGCAGACCCCGGAGCCCCCTTCCTTGAGGTTCCTGGCCCCAGAGAGAAGGCGGTGGGGTCCCTGGACAAGGGCTGGGCTGCCTGGCGCTGGCTCGTGGCCAGACCTGCTCTATTAACTCCTCCCCACCTGGTGCCTCCAAGGGCACCGGCCTGCCCGCCCTGACTTTGTCCCTCTGGTCCTCCCAATGACCCCCAGCCCACGGGGGCCACACGCCTTGATCCTCAGCTTGAGGTTAGGGGGTGAATCCACAGGCTGTGGCCATACAGGCCTGTTCTGGCGCCAACTCTACATGAAAAAATAAATATATATATATATATATCTTTTTCTGTTTGTTTTTCAAGAAGGAAAAAAAAGAAACGGTTTCCTTGGTGAACAGCGTGGTACCACACCGGCGTGGCTGCCCCTTATTGCCTTTAGAGAACCAGCATCCAGTGGGGTTCGAGGGGGGCGGTGCTCCCGAGGGAGCACGGTGATGGAGTCTGGTGGTCGCTGCTCAGAGAGATGGGCCGGGAGACTCTCAAAGGAAAAAAAACAGATGAAGGCTGTTCTTCTCCAGCCCTGTCCGGAGGGCTTCCGGAGCTCTGCCTGGAGCCCAGAAGAGGCCGAGGCTGCTGGTCAGGGCCAGATCGTGCCGGGAGGGGGGGGGGGGGGGGGGGGGGGGGGGGGGGGGGAGGAGGAGGAGGAGGAGGAGGAGGAGTCCGCTGTGTGGTGGCTCCACTGCCCCCGCCCAGTCTGGGTGGGAGCGGGAAGGTCGAGGGGCCTGTAGGACCCCAGACCAGGCGTGGTGGCCTCTGGCGCAAGAGGAGCCGATAGAAAAAGATCGTATAAACCGTCCCCGAGGTACAAATAGAGTTTTCTCTCTCAAATAAGTTGGCTCTGGAGGCTGGCCTTGCCTCTCTCCATCCTCAGGCCCCCAAGAAAATAACTTAAACTCTACGAAAGTGCTCCTGGCTGCTTTCTGGGAGGAGGGCGTTAGGGAGGGGATCATGTTCGTGCTTTTCGGAGCTAGCGCGCTAGGGACCGAGGCACCCCGGTCTGTTTCCGCGAGGGCCTCGCCTCTCTGGGTGTGGGGAGAAAGGGTGGCTTTCACGCTGTACTTTTCATGCAGGGGCCTCGGCCCCACAAGCTGCAACTTCATCGTGCGTGGTGAAGAAACCTGCTGTGTGACCTCCTGGAGCCAAGGGGTCTGCAGACTGGCTCCTCTCTCTGTCCCCATCAGCTTCGGAGGGCTGGTCCCAGGAAGAGGCCAGATGGGGACAGCAGGACAGGCCCAGGGGTGGTGTGGGCACGACCCAGCTCACAGGGACCACAGCTGGGCAGCTCGGAGGGAGGCCTGAGACCACGTCGCCCTCCGGGGCTTAAGGGCGGTGTGCTGACCCTGCCTCACAGCCCCAGTGAGGCCCCTCGGGTCCTACTGCCACTGGGGTTTCCGTGTCCATGGGGAGGGCCCTGGCTG